ATATAAACATATTTAACAAATTCTGAGTTATTCCAGCAAATGCAGGAAACATAAAAGTGTGCATGGGAATAAAACACCAACTTTAGGAAATTTATGCCTACATCAGGAAAGAGCGTACAGAGTTTCAATTCAATTTCTAATGTTCTGTGTTAAGCTATGGAGTGATTAAATGGGTATTGAAGAGGTTCATATTCATATCAGTGTTGCTACAGTTACATATATAAATAGGCCTGATATCTAAATTCTTTTTTTTTTTTTTTTTTTGGTGCCGGGGATAAAACTCAAGACCTTGGGCTTGCAAGGCTGGTACTGATGCCACTGAGTAAACTCCCTAGCCCTCTAAATTCTTGATGACAGAATAAGTGAAAGGTAAGTATCTTTTTTTTTTCTATGTTTGGTTAAGGTTATCCAATGTCAGCTGACTGGCATTAATAACTTTATCCATGTGTTACGATAGCATAATTTATAATCTTACATTATCACCCCCCTACATCATGAGTCTCTTGTTGGATGACATCTGAAAGGATCTTTTTCATTTTCCTGTGTTAAAGTACCAAGTACCTCTAAATACAAGTTGGCCTGAGGCAAGACTGTGAAAACAGGACAAAACATGCATCCTAAGTTCCTTTAACTATTCCCAGCACCTTCCTCTTCATTATCAGAGGATGAATGAAGTCAGGAGGACTTCTGCCTCCCTCTACAATGCCATCATTATCATCAAGTATTTAATAATCAATATTATCCACTATCACTCCCCATACAGACCTGTCTTCCCTGGGAATAACCCATGTTCCAGATCTTTTCTTTATTCCTCTACTCCTGGCCTCCTTTCAAAATTTCTATCCCACTTCCTTAAGATCATGCCTTAGAGTGATATTTGGTTAATGGCTCTAACTTTGTGACAATATGTTAACTTGCTATGCACTTGCCCCTGAAAGTTCCAGTGAAATTATGCTAAGATAGAGAATTTCAGATCCTGTGGGCAAAATTGGTGAAGAAAATATTAGAAGACAAACTCACCCACATGATAAAATAGCAACCTGGGGCTTATATGTGAACTCTCTGACCTCCACAAGTTTGTTCAGTGTGAGTTAACCACAAAGCGAACACACCATAACACTGCCACAAACCTCTGCAATTTCATACACACTGACTCCATTCTAAATGTTGTCAAATTAAGGCATTATTTTCCTGAGAAGTTAACCTCTCGATTTAAAGATAATTATGCCTTCTGCCAATCTGCAATGTAATAGTGTCTAAAGAAATTAACAACACTTTACAGATACTCAAAACTTAGCTTTCATCTCCCAAAACCATTAGAGGCTCAATCACATCATAATATGATTCTACAATTTAACATTTGGTTTTGCATCTTGTACAATTAATCTATGTAGAGAAAGCAAATTACTCTCAGTCATCTAATAAAGGAGTAAAATGAGGAGAGACATATAACTGGTAAGGAAGTAGTAGATACTCATTTTAGCCAGGGCAGGCAAATGTTTAGTATTTTGTGAGCCCATTTTTTCCCTACTAAACTGAAATTATAAAGTAGTTGTTTTGTCTTCTTTCTTTTTTTCTCAGCACCAAGAATCAAAATCAGGACCTTGCACTTGCCAGGCAGACATGGTGCCACTATGCTACATCCCCAGCCCTGTTTTGACTTCTTTTATCATAGTCACAGAGTGATATGCTGTGGTGTTGAAATTGTTCATGTCCAATAGAAGAATAAGACAGACTAGCAAAGATGGCCTAGAAGGCCAGATCTGAACATTAAGAGCTGCTTATCTCTTCCATTCTCAATATGTAGTCCTTTCTCCCAGGTAGATTGTGAGACCCATTGCCATAGATGGCAGCACCTATTTGACTGTCCATAGCAAGGTCCTGAATCAGGCATTGCACATAAGTTTTAGTAAATATTTGCTAATTTATTGGAGTCAAGAGGGCAGGCTGACAGTTTCAGAGGCACTGAATTCATGTCCATTTTCCTAATTGGTTCATTAAGTTCCTGCTGTCAAAGCTGCCCTCTAAAGTTTATTGTAAAAGAAGCACATTTGTTTCAACTTCAGATTGAAGGTCAAGAGATAGCTCTAGTCCTGGCTTTTATATTAAGCAGAAGGATTTAACAAGCCAGTGAAAAATTTCTAGGCTCTCATTTCCTCGCTTGAAAATGGACTTGGACTCAAGTCTATTCCAGCTCTGAAATTTGGGGAGAATGAGTTTTCTCTTGCATATCTTCTACCTTTACTGAAAGTGCAGAAATTTACATAGCTATACATAAATATAAAGAATTACTCAACAAATGATACTGTATGTGAACTGCTTAAAATAAAAATCAACTAAAATTTTATCTCACATTATGGATTAAAGGGTTAAGTAAAAGTTTCTCAACATGGACAAGAAAAAATAGGGAGTTAAATTTACAACCAGGAATTCAGCTCATTTGGTGCCATGCCTGCCTGGCAAGTGCAAGATCCCAAGTTTGATCTCCAGTACAAAAAATAAATAAATAATTTTAAAAATGAAAAAAAAGCAAACAAACAAAATCTGAGCATGGTAGCATATGCCTGTAATCCCAGCACCTGAAAGGCTGAGAGAGGATCACCAGTAGTTCGAGGCCAGCCCCTGAACTACATTAGTGAGAACTTGTCTTAAAAGCGGGGAGGGGTGTGGTAGGTGTAGAGATATTCCAAAGGCCTCCAGAAAGAAAATATAAAACAAAATTTATCAAATTTCTCTGGGTGAAAAAAGATTTTCAAATTTATAATAAAGTTAAAACCGCAGAAAAGAAAATATTGGTAGGTTTTTTAATTTTTTTTTTTTCCGTACCAAGAGTTGAACTCAAGACCTTGCGCTTGTAAGACAGGTGTGGCGCTTGTGAGACAGGTGTGGCGCCACTGAGCTAAATCTCCAGCCCTGGTAGGTTTTTTGGGGGATGGGAGGTTGGTATAGGGGACTGAACTCAGGACCTTGCGTTTATGAGGCAGGCGGAGGAGCCACTGAGCTTAATCCTCAGCCCTCTTGGTAGTTTTTTCAAAGAACAAAAATGAAAAAACCGCATACTTACAAACATTAATCAACTTAGAATAGAAAAGAAAATATTTTCAAGAAGTGGTTAATATTCTAAATATAATCATATCTCGTCCCATCTACCTATCTTACTGATCTGACTAAAGGCAGAATATAAACTGTCAGAAAGTTTAGTGTGGCTGGGAACAACTCTCTCATCCAGAACCAAATTAGAGAATTCTCTGAAGCCCAGAGAAACTATTTGATAACTTCTCTCTAATAATTCAAGGACTAAGAAAAATTATTATTCATCTAATAATATATCCATATAGCATTTCACAATATACAAGAATTTTCATTCCATTATTTCATTTATTCTCAGAGCAACATTTTTTTTCATTGAGTTTATTGATACTTTTTAGGTAGGTAATCATTTTTGTAGCTTTAAAGACGATAAAACTCAGGCCTATAAATAAAAAATCCCCCCATATCACAGCCATATATTAATGCCAACTCTAGGCCTCAGATTGGGACTCTGCCTCAGTTTTGCAGTCTTTACTGTATGGATTTTGGATATGAGATTTTTCTACATTGCTTCCAGATTTAAAACAATAATTTATGATAATACCATGTTCTGATCCTAAGATGGGATGAGGAGAAAAATAAAATTACTGAAATGTCATTGAATTGCTGAAAGGAAAAATGTCTTTGCTCACCTTGAAGGGATTTAAATAAATCTTTTAAAATGTAATATATCAAATATATTACAAAGTTTTTTAAAACAAATTTTAATGTTACAAAACATATTTTACAAAATAAGTATAAAACCAAAGTTGATTTCTCCACAACTTTCAGAATTATACTTGAATTAATAATTCAATAGGTCTTGAAATCCACACAATGCCTTATTCCTTTGATTCAGAAACATCCCAAGAAGCCTGACTTTTTGATGTCTCATTCTTAAATGAAATGGTTCCTTTTTTAAAAAGTATGTCTCTTTTTCATTTTTTGGAGGCATAAAGTGAATTTCGTAGACTTCATTAAACACCTTTCAGTGCCAGTCACCAGCTACTCAACACTCACTTCTGAACACATTCATTTCATTTTGCTCATTCTTTATAAGTAACTCTAACCACATTAAATCATCCAAATTTCTCTGACTCTCTTCTTTCGAAGTTTTTACTACTGTTGAATTCTGAGCTATACAATATTTTTTATGATTATCCCTATTTGTATGAGACCACAGAAGGCAGAAATTGAGGAGCTACTTGCTATATACATGCCCCAGGGTTGCTTCCACATCACTATACTATTGTCAATAATTGTAAAATTAGGGGCCGGGGATTTAGCTCAGTGGTTCGGTGGCCTGCCTCACAAGGGCAAGGACCCGAGTTCAACCTCCGGTACCAAAAAAAAAAAAATGTAAAATTAAAATGGCTGAACTGATGTGGACCTAATCGACGGCAATGGTTGCTCCCGCCAAAAGGAAAAAAAAAAAAAAGCCTGCCTCACAAGGGCAAGGACCCGAGTTCAACCTCCGGTACCAAAAAAAAAAAAATGTAAAATTAAAATGGCTGAACTGATGTGGACCTAATCGACGGCAATGGTTGCTCCCGCCAAAAGGAGAAAAAAAAAAAAAGTAGGTGGCTCTGAGTAATTCTAGAACCTAAGAACCCTAGTCATTCTTTGGATAGAGGAAATGTCAATCTTTATATTGCAGCAAATGAGTTCAGAGACTGCTATGACCCTCATGACTCCTCAGTCTGCCCCCTAGCTAGTGGCAACTCTACCACCTAGCGGAGGTTTTCAGAAAGTTCTTCAGCAGTTGGTGTTCGGCCTGCTCTCCAGCCATTCCCATCTTAGGACCTCTCCAGTCACCAAGGTAAGACACTTGTAGCTTCAGTAGTGGGCTCTGCCTCTGACAACCCCCTCCCCTCCATTTCTTGGACCCGCTGACAATGGCCTTCCATTAAAAGGTCGGCAGTACCACGCCCATGGCCTCCCGCCAACTATCACCAGTGCGCCCCCGCGGCCGCAGCCGAGGCCGTGGCCGTACTCCCAGTCAAGATTGCGATCACACTCGAGGTCGCGGTCGAGGAAGAGGTCGGGGTCGAGGTCGCGGTCGCGGTAGCGGAGGTGGCAGTCCTGGTGTTCCCTATGGCGGTGTTCTCGGTCATGGTCGTGGTCGTGGTCGCCCCTGCGGCCACCATCTTCATGCTTATGGGCACAGCAACTGGCATGCAAGTCTCTATGAGGATCCACCTAGTATCACATATGTCATACAGGATGACTACTCCATCCAACTGGCCAACGACACCTCGGTGAGCCTGGCGGTAGAGTGGGCTGTGGGTGAATGGGTGGGGCTAAATTCTCTCAAGGATGGGGGTGGCACAACCCTGACATCTTGGAGCCCGGGGCGGCAGTGGAGGTTGTACACAGGGCCTGAGGTGGAGGCAGAGGATGACAGGCCCTATCCCCTGAGAGTGGGACCCCGAGAAGGAAGAGTACACCAAAGAGGATTCAAACCTCCTCGAGCCAAAGGAGGAAGGAGGAGCAGGAGGTTGGGAACCTGACGGGCAAACCAGCTCGTGGACGGCCGGCAGTTTCCCCTCATAAACTTCCCATTAGCGTTCTTGGATCTGGTCAACTTGTTCCTGCAGAGCGAGGAGTACGATGACCACCTCCAGACCCACCCCTACTGGCACCATGAGATGCTTCGATCCTACCCTTCCCTCACTGCCCCCAACGTGGACCCCCGCCCCGGCCCCAGTGAACAGCCGGTGCTCCACACGCCCCTGTGGTCCACGGTAAGAGTGCCACACCAGGAGGAGGGCGAGGATGAGGGCAAGGGCATGGGCAGAGGCATGGGCTTGGGCTAAGCATGACCCTGAGAGCCTGAGCCTGAGCCTGAGTTGGCCTCAGGTGGCTGCCTCTGCCGTGGAGTTCCACCAGCCAACAGGCGACAACGCAGCAGCATGGAGTTCTGTGGAGGCATCAGGGGACCAGGCAGAGATAGCAACTGAAGCAGCAGAACAGCAAGAAGAGGAGTTCAGAATTCAGATCACAGATGCCAGAAGTGAGTAACCAGCGGGTGGCTTTAGGGGGAGGGGACAGCAGCTGGGAGGGAGGACCTGCTTTGGGAGGCTGGTGTGAGGAAGCCTGAGATGGGCGGTGGCCTGAGTTTAGCCAGAGCTGTTGGCCCTGGGTGGGGAAGCAGTGGGTCGGGCCCCCCTCCAATTTAAGGCTTTTCTTTTCTTAGTTGCTTCAGTCCAACTGCTCCTTCTGAGGGGAGAGTAGGATGTCATTACTGGTTATTAATTGGACTATGTTTTCCATGTGTGACTGATTTAAAATTCTGTAATTTTTCACTAAAGCAATAAGTCAACATCAGTTTGACAACTGGAGTGAAAATTTTGAATATGAGGAAGAAAAAGAAGCAGAAGAAAAAATTCAAAACACTAAACAAAGAGTTGAACCTGAAAAGGACCTGGACCCAGCAGATGGCAGCTCTTGAAAAGCCAGGTATAAGACCTAGTACCTGAAACCAATATGTGTTTAGAAAACTGCTACCAGAAGCAGCAGCTACAGTGCCTTGGCCAGGTGCTAATTGGGCCTTCTTTATTTGGCCACAGAAACATAGTCTGCTATACTAACTAGGCATCAATTTTAGAATGTGACTAATGACAAATCACAAAAGCTTAGGAATTTCAAGTAGGACCACAGTTAATACTTAATACCTAAATATTTTTTCAGTTTTAGACTTTTGTATTTTAGGTCAGTCAAAAAAAAAAGAAAGTCATAGTGTGGTCATTTATCACTGAACTGGTAAACTTTTAAGGTATATCTTGTCTTTGAGTAGATTTAAATGATCAACATTTTTCTTTTTTTTTTTCTTTTTATTTTTTTATTTTTTTTATTTTTTGAAACAGAGTCTCACTTTGTATTTCAGACTGGCTCTGCACTCATTATATATCCCAGGCTGGCCTTGAACTCGTGGCAATCCTCCTGCCTCAGCCTCCTGAGTGCTGGAATTATAGGCATGTGCCACCATGCCCAGCCCTTTTTTTTTTCCTCTTTTTGCATTTTCACAATTATGTATTTCATAATGGCCTCTTTTTAATGTGGTAGATATGAAAACCAAGCATATGGAAGGGGAAGAGAATATTATCTGTGTAACCAGCACAAGTCTTAACGTTAGATAATTTAATTTATTTATTATTCATTCATTTATTTATTTATTTAGGTGCCAGGGATCGAACTCAGGACCTTGCACTTGCACAGCAGGCAGCAGAACCACTGAGCTTAATTTAAATGCTAGGATGGCCTTTCCAATAAAGCAACAAAGACAACAACAACAACAACAACAACAACACACACGCACACACAAATCCAATCATTTCTACTGTCAGACAAGAGAGAGACAAGGTTGGTGTGATCAGATAATTGAAGCCATCAGTTGTACAATCACCCTGATATTTAATGATGCAAGAAGAAAACACGTTCTCTTACTTGTTGAGATATAGCACACAAATGCAGAAGATACATATATGGGGTTGAATACTTTCTTACTTTTAGGAAGTAATTTGTAGTGATTAATGCTGTATAATTGTTCATTTTTCTCTCATTCTGCAGTTAAGAACAATAAAAAGAAGATGAAAAAGAAGAATCTGTTGTTCACTCTTTTTACTTTTCAGAAGCCAATGGGAAACTTTAACACTGATACTATTTCAAAGTGCATTGCCCAAAAAGTTAGCTAAATAATATTCCAAAGTTCATTACCCCAAAAGAGATATCCAATAACAACTTCTTTTCTCCTATGTATTATAAATATATTTAACAATGTTTAATAAAGGTTAAAAAAGTTTAAGTGCATAAACAGTTACGTGTTGATTTTTATTTAGCTAAATAATCTTGACTCAGATCTCTCTTTTACCTCTTTGTTTTGGCCACCCTACAATCATTGAAAGCTAAATATGTTGAAATTATTATATTTAACACAAAATAAATGGCATGTTTAAAAGCAGTTTTTGTAAAGACAGAATTGGGGGCTGGGCTTTAGAGCTATGTCTACAGCTATGTTAGTCACTAGCCAAATGTGACTGGTGAACACTTGGATTTTGGCTAATCTGATTTGAGGTGTGCTATGTAAAAAATGATGTAGCATATCTTATTAATAATTTTTCTACTAATTATATGTTGATGTAATACACTGAGTTAAAATAACAGTATTAAAATTTTGCCAATTTTTTATTGTTTAATGGGGTTACTACCATACAGACAATTCCATGTATGTATTGCACTAGATGTCTATTGGACAGTTCTGCTCTAATGAAGCTTTGAAGGAAATTTAATGGATGGTCCAGGTTGCCTGGTGGCTACATGATGCTGTTGAGCTTAGACCTACACTTTGACTTAGAGCTATGGTTCTCAAAGTTTAGCTCCCAAAATAGCATCATCACATTACCTGGGAATCCTTAGGCTCTACCCAGCACCTACCAAATCAGCAACTCAGGTGGAGACAGAAGTCTGTTTTTTTTTTTTGGGGGGGGGGTCCCAGTACTGGGAATTGAACTCAGGACCTTGCACTTGCCAGGCAGACACAGCACCACTGAGCTAAATCCCTGGCCCCTAGCAGTCTATGTTTTAACCAGCCCTCCAGGGGATTCTGATGCCCACTGAAGATTGTGAACTGCTGGTTTAGAGAAATAGGAGAAGCATCTGAGACTTATCTGAAGTAGGACTAACCTTAATTCACTGGCCTGAAACTGTTGTAGACAAATTGAGCTGGATGACTAGGGTTGGGCTGAGGAAGAGACACAGGGACAAAGATTGGGTGTTGGAAAAAGAAGAATTCATGAAGTAAAAACCTGGTTGAAAAGGATATAAATATGGTACCATAGGTATGAACGTCCAAAGGACCACTGTACATCTATTGTTGATACCTATAGAGACTAAAAGGCATGCATGTGAGAGTTGCAAACAAATGTACAGAGAGAAGAGTGTTGGAAAGATAAACACATTTAGGATGGGACGGGAGGATTCTATTGGGGAGGGTTCCACAGTGAGTTTCAACTCTATTTGTGATGCTACATTTATTAAGCTGCATGGTAGATACATGGACATTGGTTCTATAATTTTGTGTAGTTCCAAAATAGCAACAAAGGTAGCCGGGCATGGTGGCTCACACCTGTAATCCCAGCACTCACGAGGCTGAGGCAGGAGGATCGCTGAGAGTTGGAGACCAGCCTGGGCTACACTGTGAGTTCCAGAGCAGTCTCAACTACATAGTGAGACCCTGTCTCAAAAAAACAAAACAAAAAAATAGCAACAAAGGGGGAAAAGAAAGACAGCAGTTCTTCCTACACTATTTCAGCAGGAATAAAGAAGAGAAGTCCTAGAATTCTAACACCTATAATGGCCCTTTGGGGTCATTATCAAGGTACATTGTCATGGAAAGATTTTCATTAAATAAAACATGTTGTATTAGTTGATTTTTTAAAAAATTAGTTTAATTCCCCAACTGAATTCATGTACTGAACCTGGGTAAATATTTAGCTGGCCAGGCTAAATATCTTCTCTAGAGCCCTTTCCTTCCTGCACTGCATGCCACGCTGGGTTTGGCGGTCTCAGGCTTCTGAAAATGACTCATGATTCCCATCTGGCCATCAGACTTCAACCTAAACCCTGAGTCAGGCTGAAATACGGCCACTGACCATCAGGTCCCATCTACTCACTTATTTGTACCCCAACCCACCTCTCACTGTGTTCCCCAAGTATTCATATGCAAAACCTCTCAAGCAGCACTTTCCCCATGGCAGTGCCCACCTGGAAGCCATCAATTTGGCAGGCACACATGCATTGAGGCCCTTCCTGTGCAGCACAGCCTCGGAAGGACATTTTGCTCTTCTGGCAGCCCTCAGGTCTGAGTTGTCAGTCTCCTATTAGACTTCCTTCTCCATTTCAAAGAGAGATGGAGATAGACTACAAAATAGACTTTGTTGTATCTGTTTCACATATGGGAAAGATCAAGGAAGGTACAGAGAAGTTGAAGTGTTGTCAGAATATGCCTCCAGGCATTTAAAAAGTAATTTAGTTTATGGCCATACCATTCTGAATGCACCTGATCTCGTCTAAAAAGTAATTTAACTTCTTCATTTAAACACAGAACCTTATTAACTAGAAAATAAATTATTAATAGAGAGTTCTGGGAGTGAGAATAACCTAAGAGAGGTTCACTCCTGAGCCAAGAGGAAAGAGAGGTGTAACAATTAACATACCAAGATTACCTGGGTAAAAGCATCTACATAAATGAACTGTTCAATATGGGAATACAAAGGGAATCAAATCCAGTCCATAAAATGTGGCAATGGGCTGGGAATGTAGCTCAGCAGTAGAGCATTTGTCTAGCATGCATAAGATCCAGGGTTCCATCCCAAGTACTGAAAAAAGAGACCTAGCATTATCATAAAGGCTAAGGTATTATATTAGAAAAATAGATATTTTAAAAAGAAAAGGTAAAAGCTACTATGCCCTTGGTTGTGTCACGCTATGCAATCATCAGCAAAACCAAGCAGCCACTTTTTCTGAGCAATTCCACTCAGAATATAATGGTACAATTATAAGTCCAGGCCCACATTTTTGTTTGAACGAAGTAGCCCCAAAGTGACAGGCAGACATGGTGACAGCTATCCTAGGAAGTCACTTATTTCTGTGTCTCTAGGGAAATGAGTGAGGTTTGCTGCCCAGGCACCTAAAGGGAGCTCTCTCTCGGTGCTCGGCACGCTTAGGGAGTGGAATAAAGGGACGGACGTGGAAAGGAAGATGTATCTAACTTCTGGAGAGCATGGATGGGACACTAGGGTGGTCTGCACCTTGGAAAGCAAACGAGGTGAGGAACAGACTCTGTGGGTAAAGGAGTTCCTCATCTTTACTCCTCACTCTGGGAGTTCTTAGTGGAAGCTGTGCCACCAAAGAAAAAGATTATGGCAAGATAGGAAAGGAAGAGCCAAAATGCGTTTGGCTACTGCCCCTTCCCCTTATAAAGAGCAGCCCCCTCATCCCGACTCTTCCTCTCCCACTCTGCCCTTGCGGCCTTCCGTCTTCCTCATGGATGAGGGTGGAGGGATCACTGGGGAGGTCAGTGCTGTCTGGCCTAGTAAATTTGAAGAGTGTCTCTCTAGAAATGAGGGTGGGAAAGGCTGGTTTCATGGCATAAGGCTTCCAGGTAGTAGAAAGTGCATGTCTCTGTGGATTTAGCATGGAGGATTTGCTTTGGGCTAAATTCTTGTGAAGCAGAGACTTCTGAGGAGGAAGGGATGGGAAGATGGTCTACTTGGAGTTCTCCACCTCAAGGCCAGAGCCAGAGGTGAAGGAACCTTCCAGTTCCTCAAAACTCAGGGTGGTCAGCTTGTCATCTGCCCGATGGAAAAAGTACAGCTCTCAACATGTGTGGAAGGTTGACTTTTAACAGGAATTGGTACTTAAACAGCAGGATATGCACAACTGCAGGCACATTTACCCGAGCATTCAGAGAGGGTCCCACTGGTGTTGTGACAAAGGGTCAGACACTGATGCATTAACCATCCAGAGGAGTAGGATAATCTTCATGAAATGTTCTACCTGATAGGAGGCCACTCAATGCTGCCAGGACTGCCATGGGTTGACAAAGAGGGAGCTTAGTATAAGTGCTCTGTGTGTTACTATCACCCAAATTGGAAGCATTGGGGGCCCCGAAAGATTATTGAGCTGAAGGGGTAACTGAACTTTGAAAAACTTGGACCAGCAACCAAAAAGTAAAATATTTAGATAAGCTCATTGAAGCCCAAAATACAATCCTTGAGCCAACACATATCTGAACTTTTCCAATAGGAATACTTTCCTTGTCAAAGCAAATGACAATTTCTCAGTCATTTCAATAACATGTTTTTCATTCTTACTTTAAAGGAAATTATTTGAAAATAAAGAATTTATACATCTATAACCATAGCATCCCTGAGTGTGGTGGTGCATGCCTATAATCCCAACACTTGGGAGGCTGAAGCACTTTGGGTATATAGTGAGTTCAAGGCCAGCTTGAACTACATAGAGTCACTCTCTCAAAACAAAACAAAAACATGGCATCATAGCTGTTCTGTAAGACCAGAAAGATGTGGAAGCCAAATGTAAATATGCCAGATTTAGGAGGTAGAAAAATATACCACTACTACTGACAGTTATTCTAAAACCTGTGTTTCACTTAACATTTACCAAATTACTCCATTGTGACTGGAACTATAAGTATTAAAAAAAAAAATAGAAGGGCTGAACTTTCCTTCTAAAGGGCCTATATTTTCAGGGGAGCTAAACAATGGTCACTAATATAATATTTCATGCTAGCCTATGGTGAGGATGGTCGTAGGGAGCAGATTATGAAAGGCTTTTTAGAGATGTGATTTGAACCAAGCTGTAAAGAAGAGTTTGGGATTGGTCTTCCATGGTTGTTCCCTGCCATCTCTACCACTAAATGGAAACCTTTTCAGTTTGCCTTGAGTTCCTCACCCATCCCACCTTGTCCCTAATTTTAGGTCTTCACAGGAAATGGACTAGGCTACATCTGTTATTAACAGAGGAAGTAAGATAGAGAAAGAGAATAGATTTCCCTAAGAAAAATTGAAATGCTGAGTTGTGCCACTTCCTGGCTTAGATAAAGTCAAAAGTCATGAGTAGAATAAAGGACAGTTATCAACTACATACCAGGGATAAGAAGTTTTACCTCTTAAATGGTTTTCTGCCCTGGGC